TTGGAAAGTGGGGGCACAGAGTTTCTCACGTCGTATGGATACGATAGTAAAACATAACGTACGGATAGTGTTAAAAAGATAACAACCCGTTTCCAAGAAAAACAAAACAAAAACAAGCCATATTTTGTACACTCTCCCTGATCGCCCGCAGGTTGGAATGACGTAGGCTACCACAACCGTGACATCATCAGCCCTCACATTGACGCGCTGGCCAAATCTGGCGTGATATTGGACCAGTACTATGTACAGCCACTCTGTTCTCCGTGAGTCATTTTTGTTGTATGTGTGCAGTTCTCCGTGAGTCACATTTGTTGTTGAACATGTAGAGTCACTCTGTTCTCCGTGAGTCATATTTGTTGTGGTACATGTACAGTTCTCCGTTAGTCATATTTGTTGTGGTACATGTAGAGTCACTCTGTTCTCCGTGAGTCATATTTGTTGTGGTACATGTACATTTCTCCGTTAGTCACATTTGTTGTACGTGTACTGTTCTCCGTGAGTCACATTTGTTGTACATGTACTGTTCTCCGTGAGTCACATTTGTTGTACATGTACTGTTCTCTGTGAGTCACATTTGTTGTACGTGTACTGTTCTCCGTGAGTCACATTTGTTGTACGTGTACAGTTGCTCTGTTCTCCGTGAGTCACATATTTTGTTGTACGTGTACATTACTATGTCCAGCCGCTTTGTTCTCCGTAGTCACATTTGTTGTACCATGCTCAGTCCTTCTGATCTCCATGAGTCACATTTGTTGTACATATACAGCTGCTCTGTTCTTCGTGAATCACTTTTGTTGTGCGTGTACAGTACTATGTACAGTCCTTCTCTTCTCCGTGAGTCACATTTGTTTTTTGTTTTTGTAAGTGTTTTACGGCGCTCGCAACTGCATAAGGTCATAATATGAGCGCGCGGGACACATTAAACTTTTTCAGTTGGTAGGAAATTTTAAATTTTGCCCGGATAGCGGCCAAAGCCTACTCTTATCGATTTTAGACCACCAAGGGATCTTTAACGTTCGCAACTTGCACACGGGCCCTCCGAGATTTTTTGTCCTTGTCCGAGAAGGCTAGGTGTAGATCTTTCCTACCAGAAGATCAGGGGTGTGGCTGAAAGATTGCAGTAAGAAGAAGCCAAGGAGTAACAGTAGAAAGGCTGTAGAAAGAATCAGGAGCCCAGAGGAGGGGGGCAAAGAAGATGAGGGAGTGGGCGCAGAAAGAGGAGACGAAAGCAGACGACAGAACATTGCTAGAGAGCAGGAAAAGAGGTGAAAAGAGACAAATTTAGAGAAGAAAATTTTTCGGTCACTACCCAGATTTGAACCCGATACCTTTGAATGAGAGGCCAACACCTTAACCTCTAGACCACGAGAGTCCCCTCACATATGTTGCTTTTGTACAGTTCTCCTAGAGTCACATTTGTTGTACGTGTACTGTTCTCTGTGAGTCACATTTGTTGTACGTGTACAGTTGCTCTGTTCTCCGTGAGTCACATTTGTTGTAAATGTACAGTACTATGTTCTCCGTGAGTCACATCTATTGTACATGAACTGTACTATTAACAGTCCTTTTGTTCTTCATGAGTCACATTTGTTGTACTATGTAGGTCTTCAACCGCTCTGGTCTCTGTGAGTCACATTTGTTGTTTTTGTACCTGTACAGCTGCTCTGTTCTCCGTGACTCACATTAATTTGTGGTACATATAGGCCTACAGTACTATGTACAGTCCCTCTATTCTCCTTGTCTCATACTTTTCGTTGTATTTGTAAGTTTGATACGCCCCCAGCGACACCATTTAGGAAAGCATTTCGCTCAGTGTTTGAGGCCACTGGCTCATGTCACATAAAGCATACCGTCCACAAATGTTCTAAACCCAGAAAGTAATATTTTTCAGGCGATAGAAAACAAAACAAAACAAACAAACAAACAAACAGACAAACAAACAAACAAACAAACAAAAACATACAAACAAACAAACAAACAAGCAAACAAACAAACAAACAACAACAATAACAACAACAACAACAACAACAACAACAACAACAACAACAACCATAACAACAGCAACAATTTTAATCGGTTTGATGTTTCAAAGAACTGTACTCAAATTATATTATATTAACTGTTCTAGGTTTTTTTTTCTTTCTACATTTAGGATTTGAATTTTGACGCAATGTATACCTGAAAAAAGGAAATTTTGGGTTTAGTGCATCAGCGTCATTATGATGATGATACTACTACTACTACTACTACTACTACTACTACTACTACTACTACTACTACTACTACTACTACTACTACTACTACTACTACTACTACTACTACTACTACTACTACTACTAATGATAATAATAATAATAATAATAATAACAACAACAACAACAACAACAACAACAACAACAACAACAACGAATAATAATAATAGTAATAATAATAATGATAATAATAATAATAATAAAAACAATGAATAATGGTGATAGTAACGAATAATGATAATAATAACGAATTATGAAGTTAATCATCCTCCTTATTATTACACGTTCCAAACAAGACACCCCGGATCCCCCGTTGCCGCAGGTTTCTCTGTTATCATAACAACATGACACAAACAAGATAAGGCCGGGTTTTAGTGCGCGCTCCTGTCCCATTTTCTAACATGTAACGTGTGACGAGTGACATAATATTATAAGTAATATGTCAATGACATACTGGCTAGTGGTCACCATGACATATAATATATATATACATATATATATATATCTTACTTTTACTTTTACTTTTTCTTCCTCTGTTGCCGTCAAGCGTCGAGGGGAGATGCAGTTTTCTATGGTAGGCCAGCTCAGCAGCTCTTTCAGTCGTGATTTTATGTTTTCTTAGGGTTTCCTTGACACCTTCGATCCACCTTTTGCGTGGCCTTCCTCTTCCTTTTAGCCTGAGTGCTTGGTGTTGTAGGCCCTCGAGGCTGGCTGGTCAGGTGACATGCGTAACAGGTGGCCAAACCATTTTATCCTCTGTCTTTCTATGTAACTCAGGTAGGACTCAGTGCCGATAGCTGCTCTTACTTCTTCATGTCTCTGCCTGTCTCGTCTTGTGATGTTAAGGGTTTTGCGGAGACATTTCATTTCGCATGCGGTGATTTTGCTTTCATGGGTTTTGCTTAAGGTCCAGGTCTGGCACTGACACCATAATGTTGGTATGGATATTGAGGTGATAAACTGTCTCTTTTGTGTCCATGGAGATGTTTGGATGAGATAGGAGGGGTGTGAGCTGGTAGGTGACAGCGTTGGCTTTTTGAGTTCGCATTTCTATCTCTCTGTCGGTGGACCCGTTTTCAGAATAAGTGCTGCCAATATATTTAAACTCCTTCACTTGTTTCAGTTGTTTACTATTGACATGGATGTTCAGGGAACTATGGTTTCGGCTCACTTTCGTAACTTCTGTTTTTGATGTGCTATTTTCATGTTGAATTTCTCACATGGGTTGTTGAGTTCGGTAGTGTGATTTTGGAGGCTTTTGTTGGTCATGATGAATAAGACATTGGTCGTCTGCAAACAGAAATTCATTTAGGCTTTCTAGGCTTTGGTTTGCTATTTGCGTTATTGTGTCCAGTATTATAAACAGGAGGGGAGATAGAACGCATCCCTGTCGTACTCCAGATCTTGCTTTGAACCATTGCCTTTCTTCGTTCTTACTGAGCTTCTGTTGTTGGTATATATAAATTATGTTTAGGACATTCCAGCTAGTAGTTACAATGAATGAGTGGTTGGCGGGTGCTCTGGCGTCGTTTGCTCCTTCTTTCCTATCCAACATCTACCGCCTTTTTCTCCCCTCCTTTTTTTTGGGTGTTTGTTACTCTCTTGTAGCACCTCTAATCTTGGGCACATTTATTACCTCAATACGTTGCAAATGCCGTAAAACTCCTTCTAAAACTAGAACTGAAAGGTTACAATGACATTATTGCTAGTTCTACGATTGACCCAACGTCACCAAAAGCCACAGTAGTGCCTATCTTCTTTCTTTAGAGGTGCACGTAATGTTGAACACACATCAATAACAATAATAGTAATCTTAAACACATATAGGAATAACAATACATGTATTAGTAATGTTGAACACACAGCAATAATAACATCAGTAATATTGAACACACGCATCAATAACAACACGTCATATTGGATCTCCCCGCAGGTCAAGGTCAGCTTTCATGACAGGCTACTATCCCTTTCACACGGGTCTGCAGGTTTGTTTGTTTGTTTGTATATTTGTTTGCTTTTACGTATGTTTTTTTAATTTGTTTATTTGTGTGTTTTCGAAGAAGTGAACGGAATGTGGGAGTGAAATACAAAATGCAGAAGACGTTCTGTCATGTTGTTACCAAAAACTCTTGGTTTGTTGTTGTTGTTGTTGTTGTTGTTGCTGTTGTTGTCGTCGTCGTCGTCGTCGTTATTACAATCCATATTGTTGTTCCTTTTTTTGCTGATAGTGTTTTGCTTTTTTCTGACAAGCCCTTTCTCCCTGACGACACAGCAAAAGTCCTCATCCAGTTGACCCAGCTCCCAAAACTTGACAGGACGCCTCTCACACTTTTGTTCTATCTACACAGTCAACATTGTGGCGTCGGTGGCCTAGTGGTTAGGCTCTCGGACTCGCAACCGTAAGGTCGTGGGTTCGAATCCCGCCAAGGGCCCGACGTTGTGTCCTTGGAAAGGCACTTTACACTAATTTTCCTCACTTCACCCAGGTGGGAATGGGTACCCGGCTATAGACAGCGAAAGATCTTGTCAGTTTGTTAGTGTATGAGCGCTTAATCGGCTGCTCGCACTGTATGCTTCCCGGGAAGCTGAGAATGTTTCGGAGTGTTCTATGGTCTGCTGGGGTAATAATATAGTGTAAAGCGCATAGAGCCTGCTGCTGAGCGGGGATATGCGCTATACAAATGCTATCTATTATTATTGTTATTACACAACAAACTGTGACCAAAAATAGTGGGTGGTTGGCGGATGCTTTCTTGTGGTTTGCTCCTTCTTTCTTATTAAACATCTATCGCCCTGATCTCTCCTCCTTCTTTTTTGTGTTTGTTACTCTCTTGTAACACCTCTCATCTTCGGCACTTATATGACCTTACTGTGTTGCAGGTGCCGTAAAACTCTTTCTAAAACTAAACCGACCACAAAAAAGTTCCTGACTTGGGATCCTCATCTCTCTCTCTCTCTCTCTCTCTCTCTCTCTCTCTCTCTCTCTCTCTCTCTCTCTCTCTCTCTCTCTTCGAGGACACGTTTGAGACACGCGCACTGCGATTGATGACGTGGTGTTTTAGGCACTTCAGAAAAAGAAACACACCCGGTAACTTTATTTTTATTCAAACAGACTTTTCTGTTCTGTTTTCTTTGCCGGAAATATAAAATGGCAGGCAACAACTTACATTTGATGAAAAGCACAAATTTACGTTTCTGATTGTGTCAGATGGTCCAAATGTTGCGCAACTATGTCGTTGGTCTGTCGCTGTTCGGGTAACTTTGTTTGAGTCCGTTACGAGCTGAAAGAGTTACCTCTCTTCAGCTCAACATCCGACTTGGGGCTTCTTTCTACTTCTGAAACATCGAACGGACGTCCACTGGCTCTCCCGGAGATAGCTTGGTTTCGATTCTGCTCAACGCTTCTTTATATATATTTCTTTTTTTCCAGAGGAGTCAAGTGCATATGAGCTTTCGTCGAAGGATCTGTACAATATCTTTGAATTCATGTGAAGACTCCAGTGGAAAAAACCCAGACAAGTCACACTTGAAGACAGTGGAGAAAATGGAAATTCAAAGTGTAGGCTAAAAGTTCGTATTCAAAGTGAAAATATATTTTCTTTTACCTTCCATAGCACAGGAGAAGGAAGTTTTAGCAAAAAAAAACAACCAAACTCATTAAGAAATTGTGACTTAACCAGTTTTCTCACTGGAGTCTTCACACACGATGTGTACATGTGTCCTTATTTTACGACCAAGTCAACGGCAGGAACAGCGTGGGGTTAAAACTCACACCGATAGACTGCATTGCTGACGGTGTCTGAGGCTGGTGGGTGCACCATCCGTTCTATCAAACATGTGTCGCAAGTGCCGTAAAACGTTTACATGAACTGAACAATTGTTGACGTGCTGTCATGGTAACGGACCGACAAGCCTAGGACAAACGAGTGAAGGTGCCAGGTGAAACATGAGGCCAAAGCATCAGGGAAAGTCGACAGTCTTTTAGTTTTGTTCAGCGTTTTGTGATGGTTGTTTCCAGGAGGCCGAGAATGTTCCCGAGTGTTCTTGGCTCTGTTGGGCTGGTTGTATGGACTATAAAGTGCAGAGAGTTTGCTGCTGAGTGGGGATATGTGCTTTTCAAATGCTATTTATTCATGTAGGTTATACATGTACCTGTTTATATATCGTTATGAAAAATCACACACCTCTTCCCTCCCCTCCCCTCCCCCCACC